TTCCACCATTTTATTGGCATGGGAGGTGGTAGGAATCGGGAGGAAATTGTTTTAGTGATTACTTCTTAAGCATTCATCATAACTTATGTCATCATTTCTTGGCTAATCTCCCATCAGTTCCACTAACCAAACAAGGGAAACAATTTATCTATCTAACTCTCGTGTTTAATTCCCATTAGATACCAAACAAAGGAGTATGAATACATCGACATCCCATGAGTAATCTCAATACAAATTCCTCCTCTACACACCCATTTTTCTTCCCAATAGTTGCCCAACATGTTGTTTTTGACAGAAAGGCCGATTTGATTTATCAAATGATGGTAGTGCCATTTACAGGTATATACGATATGAAGTCGAAGATATTAGCACCCCATAACACGAAAGATCTAGAACTGGGAAATATTTTAACAAAGCAATTGGCTACCACTTTTGCCCCTCGTTTACGTAATTGAAAGGTCATCTTCTTCAAGTCTATTGCTAAACAAAAGATCCTAGCGATGGTTGTGACTAGTAAGCATCCAACGCAGATGCATTGACTTTACTCTGATTCTCTCCACAAGTGGCTACATATGCTTGCTATTTGTTAATCACTCTAGAAGGTGCCTCGATCTCGGGCTAGATTCAGATCTTGACTATTCTAAGACTTTGTAATTGTGTAACATTTGTAAAAATTAGGGCGGTCAATCTAATGAAGTGGTAGCACCAATCATGTTACATCAAGATTGTGATGCTCCATTTAAAAACACTTTAGTACATTGAATACAGACCACGCGTGCCCGTGTGATGGTTGTGCTCTTTTTCTTTGCATTGTTGCTATATTTTCAGTGTGTTTTGTCGGCACTAATTAGAGCTATGAAAAGGGGATAAAAAGGGTAAAGGAGTTTAAACCCGTCGTATGGCTAGGGGCGTGGGAATTGATAAAGATTGGGCATGAGACTTGACTCCCATCATTTTATTAGCATGGGAGGTTGTAGGAATTGGGAGGGAATTGTTTTAGTGTTCATTAATTTCTTAGCCATTCATCATAATTTATGTCAATATTTCTTGGTTAATCCCCATCAATTCCACTAACCAAACAAGTGAATAAACGTATCTTCCTAACTCTCGCGGATTTTGTTCATCAAATAATGGCGGTGTCATTTATACATAATGATGATATAAAGTGAAAGCAATTAGAATCTCATATCACGGAGGATCTAGAACTGGAAACTATTTTCACAAGGCAATCAACTACTGCCTAGGACTATTGGTTACATAATCCAAAGGTTAGTGTTCCTCAAGTCTTCTGCTAAACCAAATCACCTATCAGTTTTTGTCGCCTCGGCTATGATATGATTAGAAAGCATTGAGCATAGCTGCATTGAATTTACTATGATGATCTCCACAAGTGGTTACACAAGCTTGTTGTTTCTGGATCACTCCAACAGGTGCCTCGTTATCTGGCTAGATTCAGAGCTCAACTGTTCTAAGAATCCCTTGTAACATTTGTAAATATTAGGGAGATCAATCTAATGAAGTGGTAGCACCAATTTGGTTATATCAAGATTGGGATGCTCCATTTAGAACTCGTTGCTGCATTGAATTTGGATCGTGCGTGGACATGTGATGGTTGTGCTGTTTTTTTACACCGTTACTATATTGTCAATGTATTTTGTCAGAGATAATTAGAGCTATGGAATGGGAATCGAAGGTGTAAAGGAATTGAAATCCACCGTATGGCTAAAGGACGTAGGAATTGAAAAGATATTAGGGGTGGGAGTGAACTCCCATTGTTTTATTAGCATGCCAGGTGGTAGGAATTTGGAGGGAATTGTTTCAGTGATTACTTCTTAACTATTCATTATAACTTATATCATCATTTCTTGGCCAACCCCCCATCTATTCTAGTAACCAAACAAGGGAATAAACTTATCTGCCTAACTCTCTCATTTAATTAACATTGGATACCGAACATAGGAGTATGTATACAACAACATCCCTTGTGTAACCTTAATACAACTTCCTCTTCCAAACAACCATTTGTCTTCCCAAGTTGCCAAACTTGTTGTGTCTTTTTTTACAGAAAGGCCAATTTTATTCATCAAATAATGGTAGTGTAATTTACATGTATCGATGATATAAAGTGGAAGATATTAGCATCTCATATCATGGAGGATCTAGAACCCAAAACTATTTACACAAGGCAATCAGCTACTGCTTATCCCTCTCGGTTACATAATCGAAAGGTCAGTCTTCCTCAAGTCTTTTGCTAAATGAAAGCACCTACCGGTTCTTGCCGCCTTGGCTACAATATGATTAGCAAGCATCCAGCATAGCTGCATTGACTTTACTTTGATTCTCTCACAAGTGGCTACACAAGCTTGTTGTTTATTAATCACTCCGGTAGGTGCCTCATTCTCTGGCTAGATTCAGATCTCAACTATTCTAAGATTCCTAATTGCGTAACATTTGTAAATATTTGGGTGATCAATCTAATGCAATGGTATCACCAAATTGGTTATATTAAGATTGGGGTGCTCCATTTAAAAACTCGTTGCTACATTGAGTTCGGATTGTACGTACCCTTGTGGTGGCTGTTCTCTTTTTTGGCTTCACTAATATATTGCCAATGTATTTTGTCAGAGGTAATTATAGCTATGAAATGGGAATCTAAGGTGTAAAGGAATTTAAATCCACTTTATGGCTAAAGGGCGTATGAATTGAAAAGAGATTAAGGATGGGAGTTGACTCCCATCGTTTGTTAGCATGGGAGGTGGTAGGAATTGGGAGGGAATTGTTTAAGTATTACTTCTTATCATAACTTATGTCACCATTTCTTGGCTAATCCCCCATCAATTCCACTAACCAAACAAGGGAATAAACTTCTGTGCCTAACTCTCTCATTTAATTAACATCAGATGTCGAACAAAGGGAGTATGAATACAACAACATCTCATGTGTAATCTCAACACAACTTCCTCTTCTAAACACTCATTTCTCTTCCTAAGTTGCCAAATGTGTTGCGTTTTTTTGACAGAAAGGCCGATTTTATTCAACAAATAATGGGAGTGTCATTTACATGTACCGATGATATAAAGTGGAAGGTGTTAGAATCTCATATCACGGAGGATCTAGAAACGAAAACTATTTTCACAAGGCAAACAGCTACCGCTGATGCCTCTGGGTTACGTAATTGAAAGGTCAGTCTTCCTAAAGTCTTTTGCTAAACTAAAGCACCTATCGGTTGTTCCTGCCTCGGCTCCGAGATGATTAGCAAGCATCCAGCGCAGCTGCATTGACTTTACTATGATTCTCTCCACAAGTGGCCATACAAGCTTGTTGTTTATTAGTCGCTTCACTAGGTGCGTCGACCTTTGGCTAGATCCAGATCTCAACTATTCTAAGACTTCCTAATTGCATAACATTTGTAAATATTAGGGTGATCAATTTAATGAAGTGGTAGCACCAATTTCGTTGCATCAAGATTGAGATGCTCCATTTAAAAAACCGTTGCTGCATTGAATTCGGATCGCGCGTACTAGTGTGATGGTTGTGCTCTTTTTTAGGCATTGTTGCCATGTTGTCAATGTGTTTTGTCTGGGGTAATTCAAGCAACAGAATGAGAATCGAAGGGGTAAAGAAGTTTAAATCCATCGTATGGCGAGGTGGCGTGGGAATTGACAAGAGATTAGGCATGGTACTTGATTCCCACCTTCTATTAGCAATTTAGCATGGAAGACGGTATGATTTGGGAGGGAATTATTTCAGTGATTACTTCTTAATCGTTCGTCATAACCTGTCATCATTTCTTGGCTAATCCCTCATCGGTTCCACTAAACAAAGAAGAAAATAAACTTATCTACCTAACTCTCTTATTTAACTACTATTAGCCAAACAAAGGAGTATGGATACATCGGATGTGTAATCTCGATGCAACTTCCTCTTCTAAATACCCATGTCTCTTCCCAATAATTGCAAGTTATTTTTGACAGAAAGGCTGATTTTATTCATCAAAGAACAACAATACAAATACCAATGATATAAAGTAAAGAATATTAGTACTTCATACCGTCGAGGATCTAGAACTAAAAACTATTTTAACACTGCAATCAGTTGCTGCTTTCGCCCCTTGTTTACACAATCGAAAGTCGTATTTCTCAAGTCTTTTGTTAGACCAAAGCACCTAGCGGTGGTTGCGGGCTCCGAGATGATTAACAAGCATCCAAAGTGGCTACATTGACTTTACTTGATTCTCTTCACAAGTGGCTACAAGCTTACAGTTTGTTAATGCCTTGATCTTCGGCTAGATTCATATCTCGACTATTCTAATTCTAAGTAATTTTACGAACATCAATTTTTAGGACATGGTTCCACATCCACCTGTTATGAATAGTAAATTAAAAAACAAAAAGAAAAGAAAATTCTGAATCATTTTTGCAGTATACCTGGTCGACCATCTACTCGAGTATGAAGTTTCACAAAGAAATGACACTCATAGCATTCTAGGACACCCATAGCATTCTGGTCCTTCATGAAATTCCATACTCGAGTAGAATGGTCGACCAAGTTTGATATCTCAAAATTTCAGATTCTTTTTAAATTTTTCTAGTACTTTCTTTAAATTTACTATTCATATGGGTGTGCGTGAAACCATGTTTACACGTGTATTTTCAGTATTTCTTTAGGCTCTGTTTAGGACACATCTAAATATGACATGATATCTACTAGTATGTTTGTGGTCTATTTCTTTTTGTTTCAGTTTCTTTTGTCCTTATTGTTGTGTTATTTGTGGGAGCTTAGATGTGACATCCTTAAAAAACATCTAGATGAAATTAGACAAACTGTTTTTTTACTTTCTATATAATCGTGTAACATTGGTGATCCTGGTGCGTTCGCGGCTTCCGTCTGCCAGTGGCCCCACCAGCTCCATTTGAAAACTCCCACAGTCAGTGTCCCGTCTGCCGGTGGAGGATCTAGAACAAATCGCAGCACCGGCTCCATTAATCTACTCTGCGGTGATGATCGCCTCTTCAGCAAAGCATATTCCGCTTCCCACCCCGCATTTCGCCAAGCCCAAGCGCCACCGCCGCTCAGGCCCAGCCCGCATGGACCCCACCGACCAGTCGCCGGAGGAGGTGTACTCCGTGTGGGCCCTCCCGCCGGAGCCCGTCCGCGACCGCCTCCGCGGCCTCATGGCCGGCCTCCGCGCCGCGCACGGCGGCCCGCCCTTCGAGCCGCACGCCACCGTCGTCGGCGCCGTGCGCATGCGCCGCCCCGCCGCAATCCAGGCCCTCCGCGCCGCCGCCGCCGCCGCCGGCGTCGCCCCCTACACCGCCCGCGTCACCGGCGTCGCCCGCGGCGACTTCTTCTACCAGTGCGTCTACCTCCTCCTCGAGCCCACCCCCGAGGTCAGCCCCCTACCTTTAATCCCTCCTCTGTTCCTTCCCCAAACGCGAATCGAGAGGTCGATGCGTTCTGAGAGGTGTGGTTTGCACAACGTTTCGATTATTTGCTCTGCACTTCTGCTTATGCCAAGTTATCTGAATGTTGCAGGTGATCCAGACAAGCGACCACTTCTGCGCCCACTTCGGGTTTCAGAGATCAACCCGTGAGTGTACCTGTATTTTGATCCTGAAACATTGACAAGTTGATGACAATCGATTCATGGTTTTTACACGATTGCAGCATATATGCCACATGTAAGTCTCCTGTATGGGGATCTAACAGACGAAGAGAAGGAAGCAGCAAGGAAGAAAGTAGAGGAAATGGGCAGTGAAATTTCTGGACTGCAGTTTGAGATCTCCGAGCTCGCACTTTATCAAACGGATACTGAGGATAAAAGCTTGGAGTCCTGGGAACTGGTGGAGGTATGCCACCTTGGGAAGAAGTGATCGGTTCCTCCCGATGATATGCTTCTGCTGTAAGTTGTGACTGCTCTTGGGGTCTTGTAATATTATGTTTTCACTTTTAAGTGTTTGATGTAATGATGTGAATGTCCAGCACCCCTGTTGCTTTGAATAAGGAATAATGCGAACATTGGACATACCTTGGGGTTTACTTTGCCACTTGTGGGCTCTAAATTTTCTTGGGCTTTCTTTCAAAAATACCTTTGATGATTTACAGTGTGTTGATTTATTCAATAGAACTTGTTAAAATGCAAAGCAGGTGCTCAGAACTATAAACTAGTTGAGCTTAACTAATATTGTAAAAGCCTGAGTTTATCTTTTGTATTCCCACAAGAATACTCTCCGTGATCAGATGATTAACAAATGACTGAGATATATCCCATCAAGCTCATCATAGCTGAAGATGCATATAATGCTGCATATTTAGATGATACAGGGTATTCTATATGCTACACATTATTTGTGATGCAACACTACGGTGCAGCATACAATGGTCTTTACTCTGTAGTATCTAATCTCTACTCCCCTTGAGAACTTTCTGGCCTAAACCTTCTTCCACCTGATCCACCTTCCCTTTGACAGTTGAAATATGAGACAGCCACAATATTGAGGTGGTGCTGCCGTGCAAAGTTCCTGCAGCTGAAGTTGTGTCGCACGTCTGGTGCAAAAACTGTACCCCTGCCTAGTTGCTGGAACAGCACAAATACCATCCGATGGATACCAGATCTGGGTTCTGGTCTTTCATAAACTACAAGCTCTTGGCCTGCAAGAGCACCCTAATATTAATTAGTTTAGAGTTTCAAAAGTAATTCAACTTGGTGGAAATATCTAGTTATTTATCTGCAACGTAGTCTACTTTGTTCAGTTCTAGGCAAATAGGTGTCTTCTAATATAATCTTCATGTATAGGGGGTAACCTTTGTTCTGCTGTATATGTTAGTTGGTAGAAAAATATATCATAAAACTCTTCAAAACCAGTATAAGATTGAATGATATTAATTGATCGCATGAATTTTGTGTTTGTACACGTGAAAAATAAATCAAGTATAAATAGTATAGATAGAAAAAGGAAATTCATGAGTATACCACTGTTTAAGAGTTCTTGCTTCTTTAGGCTGTACATACAAATGTCATTTTACCCTGTTTATAGTTATTCTTTGTCATGGTTTAAGATATCTTGGTGTTAACGATGGGCTATATTAGAATTAACTTGTATGGAGTCATTTGAGGGAAAGAACTTAACATGGCCTGATTTCTGCATCCACAAAATTCAGCTAAAACCAAAAATCACATTGAACAAATTGTTATGCATGACATCATACCAAAGCTGGCACCAGTTGTTGCAGGGATGTCTGACACCATCCTACACAGGAGTGGAGATATATCGTAATCAGGGCAACTTAAATAGGAAGCATATATCAAAAGTTTCGGGGCAGAAAACAGATGGGTGGAGGGTTTGGAATCGAATTAGCGAGAAAGAACATGTTGCATTTGATTTACCAGTGCAAGTACTCCCTTAGTGATGGGTGACTTGGGCTTGGGGCGTCTGGATCCACCAATATCTTTTGAAGTCAAAGACAAACTCAAAAAAGTTAACATATGATTCGTTTGAGTTTGCTAGGAGTAAACTAATCATCTATGAGACATTTTCCTTCTATGGACTTCCTTCACAGTTATACTAACAAACCACGTAAAAGAGTGAAATAACCAAAGGATTTGCATATATTGTCCACTACTAGAGTTAGAAGCTTACCAGGGTGTAGAGAACTCTCATGTCACTGCCACTGATATCAACTCGTGGCTTGCTTACAATTGCAGATGGTCTTAGCTCAGCACCTGCCAGGACTAGCCTATTGTTGTAAGCTATCCTGAGTGGAACAGTTGATGTAAATGGATCAAGCACATCTTGTAGAACATGGGCCACAACCAATGGATCCGCTGCCGACATATACTGGAGGACTACCAGTTAACAGCCTTAGCCTTTGTCTGTTATTGTGCCTAGCTCTCTACAGACCTGAAACAAATTGTGTCTATGTATGACCTACTTGCACGAACTACTTGTATTGTGCGATGAGGGTTGTCTTATTCACCTTTCAAAAGTTTTGATACTAGCGTCATGTTGTGCGTCACCTGTACGTAACGTCATTGATATTTGTCGATTAGATCCTGTACTTTATGGAGTGGTCGGGCCGTAGATATTTTGACATGCATGCTAAAGCCATCCTATTATTAGCATGGCTGTGGTATACTGGGACGAGCTTGTGAATTGTAAACGATAGTTAGCGCATTCCTTTGGTCACAACCTCTTTGGAGATAATGGGTACCATATTTCTGAACCTAACAATGTAGTGACGCTGAACATGTAGGTGTACTTAACATGCTTAGGTTCTTCATTTCAACTGCATGCTTACTGGTATTAAGTACTTTCCCTTGTATTTTTTTTAGATATCTGCTGACATTGTTTTCTTGTTGGCATGTAATGCATTTGCACAGCATTAAAAGATTTTTTCCCTTCTGAAAACTCATATTCCTTATAGCTTAGGGTCATTATTTTATTCAAAATCAGGGATTACATAAAATGGACTAGTAGGAATAGAAAACATATGCTTGCAACCCACTTAATTGCACTCAGGCCAGGAGCCTGCTCATGTCACTGTTGTTTACAAAGTGAATTTTTTCTACTGTGACCTGCCAAGTTGCAGCAATACTCTATGTTGGAACAGGGCCATCACTCTTCTACTTATTGCCGAAAAAATGAGCTGCATGCATCTTCTTGAAGCCACTGTTATGTTCTGTGCAACTTTTAGCAAAGATCTAAGGTAGTTTGTCTAGACTAGCACTAGCTTAATCATTGCATCTCTTCACTGTGATGCTGATATTGCTTATTTAAGGTAGTTTGCTTTTGTGTTGGCTTTATTTTTAACCGTGCCTTAAAAATAGTTATCCAGCGCAGTAGGCCATCATGTATTTTAGTATTTCTTTTGCCAGTTTTCTACAATACAATTCTGTTATATTCTTTTTCTAGTGGAACCATTCAGTTTTATTCGATAGGCTCGCCTATCCATACATAAGGATGCAAGTTTGGGCTGATGGCCAACCAACAACCCATCTAGCTATTTGCTATTGTGCACAAAGTAAACTATTGGTTAGGTACCTGCAGAAGTATCAGCTAAGTAGAAGTATACCATTAGTTAGATAAAACAGCCCGTGGGTCCGTTCACTTGCATCCCTACAGGACTATAGCACGATTTCTGAACTACCTGCGGATATTATTTATATGGCATATGGAAAGTTTTGTAGAAACTTTACAAAGTTGACTGCTACGTGTATTCATTTGATGATAAGGATTCTTTTTACTGCCCTGGGATAGCAAAGTAGAATCCACTTACTGCTCCGCAATAGCAAAATAGAATCCACTTGTTCCTTCTT